CAAGGCAGTCTGCAGTTTTTACTTGTCATCAGCCATAGGACTGACCCCAGGACTAGACTCACTTAGTCTGAGTGTTGGTTTGTCAGCTTCCATAATAATTACAGATTGTGTTTTCCCCAGGGGTGCTAATTGAAAACATCCCCTTTATCTTAATGGAGAACGAAACGCTCAGTTACCCTGAAGATGATCCAAGAAGAAACAAACTTCTTACCTACCGAGCCACTCCAGACGTCATTGTACCATAAAAGTTACTTGTCTAGTGCTCTTTATCTACAAGGCACTTGAATATTAGCCAATCTTTTCAATAGCCCTCTTGAGGTATTCTGGTATCTGAATAACAGAAGTAATGAGTGTTGTTTGCCCAAGGCCAAAGAGGGAATTGGGGGTAGAATTGAGATTGCACTAGCGTTCCTGGTCTAGCTGTCAATCCGCTAGGACATGTTGCCTTTCTTTGCCCCAAGGCCATCCAGTCATTGCAAACAAAGCCCCTGACAAAATTTTACAGTGGTGACTACTACAGGGTTTTTATCTTTCTTCTGTGCTATGCACTGCTGTCCCAGAAGGTTTAGGAAGTTTAGTGACCGTAATAGGCTTTGAGCATACACTGTCTGACTCAGTTCCCCCTGTGCAAAATGGGGCTGGTACGTGTGATGCGTAGGTCACTCATGTTTTTGAAGGGCTCTCAGATCATCTTTGGTGACTTCAGAAATGCAAATGCTATTATGGCACATGTTTTAGTATCTTTAGATGATTTGTAGAATAAATGGGTTACTTTCTCTTTTGTCTATCTTTTTACTGTTTTCCTAATATTACAATAAGGATGCTTGAGAATATCCTCCCTGTTTGTTTAACGAAGTATTTCCTTCCTTTTTTCTTTCCTTTTTTTTTTTTTTTGATTTAGAGTTTGTTTGAAGTTAGCGTGGTCTTTGCTCACCCAGAAACAGAGGAGGAGTGCCATTTCCTGTAAGTTTTTATATAAATAACAAAAGATCTTATCTAAATATTGTGCAACATTGTTGGTTTGGATTTGCTACAGATGAGAGTATGCAGTGTTTATAAACTAGAATGGGGCCTGCATCTAAACATCCTCATATTCAGATAGAGTTGCAGAGCTTAAAGTTACGCCCTCTCTGGTTAATTCTGTGCTTTAAAGCCAATGAACAAAATCATCCAGAATTTTGATTTGAACTCGAAGGAAAACATTCATGTAAGTCGTTCAATTTCAGCCCTTTTCAAAGTCATTACCTTCTTCAATATAGCTGTATCATTAAAAAAATTCAAACCACGTAGTTGCAGGTGGCGGAATCTTTTGAGGTCATGCCTAGGTTTTCCTGCTCTCACAGGAGACGTGGATGGGAGGGAAGGCTTTGAAGTGAGTTAATCCAACTTAGCTGCTTGATTAAAACAAACAGAAGTTCCCTGGCCGCTACACGTAGTTTTTGGCCTGGCCCAATAGAGCATCTGCTATACACAAAGAAGCAAAATATTTCTGTGAATTTAGCTACCATTTAATCTGGTTTCTCAAAATGTATCAGTAGTATATTCTGGATAATTAGGTTCACTCTTCCTGTTTGCTGATGCTTCCTGGAAAACTTAAGTTTCACTCAGTTTCATCACTTGCACTCCTACTGCAAGTTAAATCTCAGCATAGAAAGAGGCTCAGCATAGAATTTCTGACTTCCCTGTTGCATAGTGACTTCATCTCTCGAGACTAGAGATTTCCTTTGCAGCCTTTTTGTATTTCCCCAGTTTTACCCCTTCTGGCAATTTGTGATCTTTGTTTGAATGCCCAATCTGCCACCTTCTTGGTTTTCAACAACTGCATCCTTTATTTGTCTTGGGGCAGGGAGTGAGGGAGTGCATGCTTGGTGACAGACCAGGTATTAGGAAGAATTGATTACCAGTATTTGCTGAACGTGTTTCCTTTCCAGCTTCTTCAAGACTGGGCAAGAGGCAGAGAAAGTATTAGGGCCAAACTACAATTCTAAATAAGGTTACCCTAAATTATCCTGTAAAAACTCAAAAGTTTCTGGATCCTGCACCCTTTTGTTCTTATTTATTTAATTTTACTTGATCAGTTCTTGTTTTCTGTAGTGCTCTTCCTTCCTCTGAAACCTCTCAGCTTTTATTTTCAGCTCATCCTTCCATCCTTTTTGTGACGTTTCAAAAATACTGATGTAGAGCATGTTATGGTGCTCATGTTAGTACCCCAAGCGGAATAGTTGTAGAGGTGAAAGCTGTAAAGAAGTTCCATTCCACATTCCAACTACTCAGGTTTATTCCATGTGACCTGACAATATCCCTTTATTTGCCTTCTTTTTGTGGCATACTTAAACAGCAATTAAGGTTTTAGACATTTTTCTGAAGTAACAGTGTGTTACCTAATTTAATTACATAGTAGTTTCTCAGGCATCAAGGCATTCTGCGTACGTGAATGGCTGGCTCTGGGCATATTCTGAGGTAATGGTTTGGTTTCCATGTAAATAAGGTCCCTTCCAACCCAAAGCATTCTATGATTCTATGGTAAATTTGGCAATTGTCACAGCTTTAGTAATGACAGTCGTGTTTTTTGTGGAAGCAAAGTAAGACTTTGTCTCAATCCGGAGAAGTCTTCCAGGTATGCTTTTGGGTGGGATTTCCAAGTATGGCATTTGCAATTCCTCATCTCCCAAGCTGTTCTTACACAATTATGTGTAGTCAGGTGTGCTAAAATGACCCTCAGTTTGACACGGAAGATTGAATTGGCTCTTATTACTTTATATTTGGAGATTTCTGTTTAAATGTAAGGTGATATTTACATTCTGGAAGAGGGAGTTTGTGATGCTTTGTGTCACACACTGGCCAGGCAAGTTGCTTGTATAGAAACAGCAAGAGGTCAGACCTGCTTCCTTATAGTCTAAAGTAGTTACAGAGGCGTTGAAAAGCACCAGCAAGAAATTGTGTTGTAGGCTAGAAATCGTCTCTAACTGCATACATAGAAATCCACTAATAGGAACAGCAACTTCCTCTACAGTACTCAGAAAAAGTGTTTCACTGACTTGGCTTTCACTTTTGTGAAACAACCAATAGTTTCCTTTTGAAGAGGCAAAGCACAAATGGTATCGAACACCTGGGGTTACTTTTTCTGTAATAAATTGAATTTTCCTATCCAGAAGCAGCGATTCGAATCTCTAGTTTGCAGCATGCATTGTCTAAGAAGAGCAAGTATAGATTTCAAGACGTTAGCAAATCTTGCACGGAACTTAAACATTAATCATTGCCTTTATTGAGAAGGACTGGAAAGGACTGAAAGCTAAACTTGTGTGCTTTTCCATCCCATCTCAAAGCTGAGACACGTTTGTGTTGGTCAGAGCAAAAGAGGCTTACGCAGCTTTGTCCATGATTTCTCTGTAGATCAAGCAACACGCACCTTCCACCGTTTGTGGTTTAGGATAAAGTTAATTTTAAAATCTGCTCTGTGCTAAACTGTGGAAGCGAGATACTGGACATATTGGTACAAAGACCATGTATATGCTATGTGTATAAGTCTGTCTGTCTATTTCTTGTGCTAGAAGAGTAGCAGCTAATTTTCATTTCTGTATTTAGAGCTACAGCCTGTCCAGACTGTTTCAAACCAGCAAAGAACAAACAGGTAGGATCTCATCATTGTTGTATTTCTTTTCTGACATTCAGAATTTCACAGCAGTAGCTACAATGGAAGAATTTATCTGGTTATTCAGTCAGTGCTTAATGTCTGGTTTTCCTTCATCAAAAATCTCTCCAGTTTTCAGTTGTCTGAAAACAAAGTTGTCTCCTTTATTCAGTGAACGTTTCTCCACTTTCGAAAACTAAGCGCTTCGTGCTTTTCTTTAGGTCGTTCATTTTCCAGACTGTCTAACGGCCATAATTTTAGGAACGTTCTCTGGAAATACCTTCCTTAAGATCTAGGAATTTGATTGTCATGCACTAAAAGTAGCATAAAAGATGATCCTCAAGCTCTCTGGGGGTGAAACAGTTCAGATAAGTCATGTTGTGAAGATGAGACTCTGCAGCCGAGAGAGGGTGATCATACTGCATTTTTCATGTTCTCTGATCTAAATGAAAGACACAATACATGCAGGATGGTTTTGCGCTGTCTACCTCTGGAGGGGGGGAAGGAAAGAAAAGGGACCTTGCCACTTGTTGCAGGCCCTGAGCACACACACAATCATTGATGGAAAAGAGGACATGTAAGAATAAAAAAACAGTTGGAGAGAAACTGATATAAGTAGGACAGTGGGTGTGATCTGAAGGAGAATAAGTAACTTCTATCAGAAGCCTATGCAAGGCCTTTTATTCTTTCTGGTGAAGAGTCTACCGACATTTGGCTGAGGCAGCCTGACCCAGGAATTCTGCCTACTCTACTCCACCTGACCAATAAATGCAAGTCTTTTTTTAGAAGGATTGTATTGTTATAACTCACTGCTTGCGGCATTGCTTTCCTTTAAAAGGGGGCACATCCCCCATAAGGAGTTAAACCAGCAGGGCCTGGCTGTTAAAACCACACAGGCAACAAGATGTAGGGGAATCTAAAGGAAAAATTACTGGCTCTGAAGAGCCGTCAGAGGTTCATCTTTACAAAGAAGCTGTGCTTGAAGCTTCAAGATCTGTGTTAATCAGAGAAGTGGTATAAAAACTGGGTTCTGAGTGAGAATTTCTGTCATCTGCTGCATATACTTATTTAAACCTGCTGCTAGTTTAAGGGTTTTCCAGCTCATCTGTTCTGTGAGAAAGGGAAGTGCTATTATCTCTCATTTATGCTTAGAAAGAGAAAGAGCAGCTTTCCTGAAGGCATCCAGGAACTCTGTGTTAGAGCAAATGGTCCCAAACAGTGAGCTGGTATTTTTCGCTGTTTTTTTCCAAATCGCCAGTCCAGTTTGCAAAAAAGACATCATTAAATTGGCAATTCAGCAGACAGCCACCAAGACGGTCAAGGGGCTGGAGCACATGCCCTGGGAGGAGAGGCTGAGGAACCCGGGCTTGTTCAGTCTGGGGAAGTCTTTGTGGAGGACTCACCTGAATCTCCCCCTAGTACCAACAAAGAGGTTACTGAGAACAGGGAGCCAGGCTGTTCATCACAGCGCACGGTGGAAGGGTGAGAGACAGTGAACATAAGTTGAAATGAGAGGTTCAGAGGAGACATAAGAAAAAACTTTTTACCATGAGGACAGCCAGTCAGTGGAGCAGGCTATGCAGAGAGGCTGTGCAGGCTTCGTCCTCGGAGGATTTCAAGACCTGACTGGGTAAAACCCTGGGCAATATGGTTTGATATCATAGCTGACCATGCTTTGATTAGGAGGTTTGTTTAGAGACCTTCTACTGTCCTCAGCCTTCCTGAAGTAGGATTCCACCTCACCTGTTACAACACTTGTTTCTCCTCTTCTAGGAACCTAAATTCTGTGTTTTCTGCCTTAGCCTACCATTCAGAGCCTCTACCTCTGACTATGAATGAACTTTTGAATTTTATAGACAGGTATCTACTCAACAGTATTGTTTTCAGAAGAACTAGCTGCCCACTGTCACAGATAAAAGCTGGGGCTTAGGTATACTTAACTCCTGAAAATGGGGAAGCTGGTTTAGGTTTCTGTTCATAGATTCAGGATTCTGTTTTTAATCTATTTTCCAAATTTGGACCTGAGCTTCTAAGCACTACTTTTTTTGTTCTTGCTTTTGCACGCTTTTGTATATCATCTGAAATAGAATAGTTTCCAAAGATATTCTTAGTATTTCTTTCAGCTAACCAAAGGGCAGACTTAGCAATTGAATACTCTAAGGAGCTGGAGTAGCTTTATTTGGAAGCGCGACGGTAACTGTAGACCTGCTGAAAGTCAGTGGCACTTGTTATTTTTTTCTGTGTAAAAACAGAGTGAGGAAATGTATACTACTGTTCGTACATGCTTTCTAGAAAGAAAGGGGCAAATCTTAGCTCGACGACTAAATAACTGTTATGTTCCAACCTGTCAGCTGTATTAGTTGTATTGCTTTTGTGTTGTGAGTAAGGTTACTTGAATAGATTTTGGCAAAACTACCTGTTGGTCTTTGCCCTGTTAAAGTTAGGGTTAGGATCACAATGAGTTCTTGCTGATAGAGTTGCTCTTAGGTATAAGAAAACACAAAGCACAAGTGAAAAACTTGTGAGAAGTGTACGGTGTGTGTGTTTTAGGGTTCTTTTTCTTCCTTAGGCATATCCTTTCTTAGCTTCTTTTAGTTCTTGACTCATTTTTTTATTTCACTGTGCAGTCTGTTTTCACGAGAATGGCAGTTATAAAAGCTCTAGAGAAGATAAAAGAAGAGGATTTTCTCAAGTAAGTATATACTGAAACTAGTTCTTAGTATTGTGCTTTTGTATAGAATTAGGATGGAGAGGAAAATATTAGGTGGGTAAGCAGTGGTTGTTTAAATTCTGCTAGTTTACTGGTTAACATGTGTTGCGTTTTCTGTTCTTCTGGTAATAAAATGTCATTCCAGATCTTTTATTTAAAGAGTAGTCTTTAAATGCTTGAATTAAGCCACAGAGGATGGAAAACTGGACATGACACAAATGATGGTCCCTTTCCCATTAGTCAAAGTGCTTCATTGGCTGATTATCTCAGGAGCTGCACAGAGGAGAAATTGTGGGTCAGAGGGCTGCAGTTCTGCTCTGTGCTTTCGGCAATACGTCACTGCAGATCTCTGGGCTGGCATGGGATTTAGAACGGTTAGAAGTGAAAGCAGTTTGTTGTAATATTGCCAGTGATTTACATTCAAAAATCTTTATGTACATCCCCAAAACCACAAAAGAGATTTAGAAATCGTGGAACTTCTTCTGTATTTTGAACCTTAGAGTTTGTAAGGCAAACTTCTCTTTACAAGAAAGACTTTTTCCCATATTTCCAAAATGTTAGGAGTTGAGTTTTAAGAAAACACCAAGTGCTGTAACATGGTAAAAATCACAAGCAGCGGGAAGACATGAATAGACACTTTCTCCGTAGTTCACTGTGCTTAATTGCACTAAGTCTTCACAGGTCTTTTCTTTGATTCCCAGCAAAGATTTAGCAATAGATCCTGGAGATAGTTTTCATGCAGTATTTCGTTTCATTATTGCTATAGCTATAGTATGGTACATCTTCTTAGCACACTTTGGAGTGTTATACTTCGATAATGTTCGATGACAGATTGACAAAAGTATTTGCGATGCGGTGTTGTTGATTTGCTTAACGTTCATCCATTTCTTGATGTTCCAGCTTTTAATGTGAATACTGAGTTTATACTGTAGCTGTGTTTTGTGTAACTGAAGTAATCATCTTTCATTCCATTATTGCTATGGTGATGCTCCATCATGTTCTGGTATTACTAGTCTTTTTTAATCTTTTTTTATACAGGCATTTTCCATGTCCCCCAAGTTCACCAAAGAACCTCTGTGTTGCTCTGGAAATTCAGTGCAATAATGGTGCAGTTTTTGTGGCTGGTAAAGTGATCCATTTATTTGCTACTGTGTTTTCTTAAACATAACTTTATAATACTGCCATGAGACCCGGAAGATTCTTGCTATTTGTTGATTCCTGTAATTAAGTATAAGGAGCAAAGAAACAAATCTATCTCTATCTAAAAGTGGACTTGGTTTGAAAGGGGAAGAAATTATACTTTCCTTTGCTGAAGACATGATTTTGTCAAAAGTTAGAAATTACAGATCAACATGCTAGAGTCAAAATTTGCCTGCTCTTACATTGTGAATTTAAACTTGGAGACTGTGTGGTGGAATACGGTCGAAGAGGGGTAGGAGCTGCAGGAGGGCAGCACGTCCCTGCTGCTGCTCCCAGTGTGCACACACCTCCCTTCTGAATATTTGGGGAGATCCTGCTTTTCCTTGCCATTGTTCTTCTTTCGCTTTGAGAGATGGAAGAGTTCTCTCTTCTAGAGACAGCACAGGATGATGTGAAGGTTTAAAACAAATTTCTTTGCGCCCCTGCTCATTAAGGGGGCTTATCCAGAAGCAGTTTATGAAACGAAGAATTTTGCCCTGTTGTCAAAGCTTGCTCTCTCCTTCAGAAAACCTTTATCCCTGCAAATCCCGCAGTTGTAATATGTCCCCTCATAATAAGCACATGGTTTGGGAAAGGCACTTCCACACTAAGTAGGCTCCCTGCAGTGCTGTTCACTTGCTTGGATTTTGATTTGGATTCAGAGGTTTTCACCACCTGGAATTATCTGCATATTATTCCATCCAAAACTGCCAATTTTGTTGGGATTAATAACGGTTAAATTTTAGAAACCGTAGGTCTTTCTAGTTCCCCCCTCCAAACCAAGAGATAGCATCTGAAATAATTGGGTGAGACGGGTAATGCGACAACACTTGGTGTCCCTGAGTTGAGATGATTCAATTTTTCTGTCACCTGCCTGCAACAGTATCTACCCGTCCCCTAGTCCTGTGTATAAACAACCACTTATTTAAATATATGCAAACAGATTATTTTTAAAAACCCTACAATTTTAATCCAACATACTATGTTTAAAAGGATGGTACCAATCTGGACTAAAGGAAAATGTAAAATGAAGAGGAAAAAATGCAAAAAATGTTCTCACGGCAGGCTAGTTGGTGTCCTGTACATACCTGTTTCTTATTTTTAATTGCTGACTAGAGAGTTAGATGTACATTTGCATGAATCCAAGATATCCAGTGTCTTTTAGCCTCTTCCAAACACGCTGTTTTATTTTAGGTTGCTTTGTTGGATGGTTTTATCAGAATTCATCTGTATAGAGAAAGAGACAGAGGGTTAGCTTTTGGCATGTGATTTAATACTGCTTTTGCAATTTATAGTTTATAGCTTGTTCCAAACAAAACCAAAAAAACCCAGGCAGGATGTTGTCTTTAATTTTTCAATAATTAAATCCAGAATAGAAGAATTCATTGAGTACAGTGCAGTTATTTTGTTATTATGGCAGTTTAAATGGGACAGGATCTCAATTTGTAAGCACAGTTTCAGAGCTGGTATTGCCCTCTAGACCTTACCTTTGGTGTTCACTGAATGCTTCCTCCCCCCCAGCTTTTTTTTTAAAGGTTCAGGAGAAGCTGTGAAACTGAGAAACACCTTCTGTTTTTTTTAACCCACTCTTGTTCAGACCAAAAGCTAAAATTATTCGAATGGGGAGTTGAGAGAGAAAAAAAAAATGTATCATTTTCCTTTTTCCATTTTATGGAAAGAGAATTTAGCAGTGTGAAGCTGACTTCTGAATGATTAGTCATAATACTTTCATTATTTGCCCCAGTGAAACAGTATTAGTCAGTTTCCCCACTTGTTTGTGTGGGTTTTTCTGCAGATCAAAATGCAAGAAGGAAACATTGTTAGAAATAGGAAAATATGATACTGAAAACCAACAAAATTGAGATGAGAGAGGCACAGTATAACATGCAGAGCTACTTTGAACTCCTTTTTTATTGTCTATATGCAAGGTTTCGGATTGAAACTTGTTTGTGCAGGAGGGGTTATTCATTGTTCTTTATGAATGAGTTCCTTGTTTTGTGCATATTTTCACTTCTTATAAAACCTGTCAACAAGAAAGCTCATCTTGGTCATCCGTGTCAGACTTGTGCTTTGTTTATAGCAGTAATGTCACAGGGGACGGCATGCTAGTGTGACATAACACGAGACTATGACTGGAATCAGTCAGAGGATGGCAATCTCTTTACATGGCAACATTTCAAGGGTCTCGAAATTTGTACTAGTTTATTATTGAGACATTTTGCTCACATGGTTTTCCTTGTAGCGAGCCAAAGCATTTTAGTTTGGGTTTCTTTTGTTAAACATTCAGACAATGGCAGAACTTGGATTGAAATCTGAACTACTTGATACAGGGGGTGTGAGAACTTCAGTTGGGACATACATACATGAGAGGACAGACATCTGTGTAACACTAGTTTGCTGTGTGGGAGGCTGCTTAAAGACAATGGTCTGATTCAAAAAAATATTTTTTTTTTTCCATTTGGAATTAAGTTGACTCAGGCTAGACACTTGAACCTCTGGGTTTTCATTCCCCAGTTATGTCAAGCTATATACAGTTTTGTTTCTATGGTTATACCTGAAGGTGTGACTGCAGCAACTGGCTCTCCAAGTCTACTTTGAAGCTGGCCATCTCAGATGCTGAAATTCTCATAGGTGCAGCAGCATGCATTTCATACTGTCGCTGTAATGCTCTTACCATAAAACAAGTTTAAGCCTGTAAATTTATTTTCACAAGGATCCGTTGAAAGTTAAATGTGTTGTGCTGTGCAATACTGGAGCTTTTGTCCATTGCTTTAGAATGATTACAGGTAACATAGCTGTTTTTTACAGGAAGATACAACAAATATTCAAGGAATTTACCTCAGACTCCCTGGATTATTGACGGGGAGCGGAAGCTGGAATCTTCAGTGGAAGAACTGATTTCAGAGCATCTAATGGCAGAATTCCAAGCAGATAGTAAGTATCTAGGCGATCTTTTACCATACATATTTTTCATCATTACTAGGATTTTTTTTTCTTAGTAACTACTAACATAATTTAAGACTGTAATGAAAAAACCTGTGTTTCTTTATCCCTCTCTTATCCTTCCAAGTCCAAACTTGTAAACGTTTTTTAGCTATGGTCTGTGAGTAATTAGATGACTGCTTTGTTTTATGCAGTGTCTTTTGTCCTTCTAAAATATCTCCTCGGTTGATCTGATGGTGCACATATTACGGTTCTATGTGGTAGTATTTTTGCCTAGCCGTACTTCTTAACAGTTGGTAATTCATAAAATAACTTGTAACAAGAAGGTTTTTGCCATCGGTGTTCCATAATATCTGCCTAGCCTTCGACCCTTCATGTTTCTTACCTTGATTAATTTATTTTCTTCAGTGCATAGAGTTCCACAAGCTAAATACTTATCCAGGGATTACCCAGATGAAATAATCACTGCCCATCATTTGTCATCTACTAGACATGGAATTAGAGACATAGAAGGCCCAAGGAAAAATCGCATTAAATATTACTTTGGAAAAAACAGCTACTTTCCCCTCCTCTCCTCCCTCCTCCCAGTGGATATGTTAGTCTGAACCCTAGGAAAATCCTCAAACCATGATTTCACACCTGATTTCAGCTGGCAGAATTACCACAGGTGACTACTAGAAGTGCATGTGCAGTCATGTTGAGAAAAGATATAAACGAATAGAAAGACCATTGCCAGTAGGTCAGGGGAGGTGATCCTTCCCCTTTACTCAGCACTGGGGAGACACATCTGGAGTACTGGGTCCAGTTCTGGGCTCCCCAGTACAAGAAAGACGTGGACATACCAGAACTAGTCCAGCAAAGGGCTGTGAAGATGGTTAAGGGTCTGGAGCATTCCCATCTCAGAAAATTCTGATAGTATGAGCAAAATATGCCTTCATGACCATGCAAGATGGTTATGTAGTTGCCATAATATGACCAGAGAAATGAGAGATGATAAAAACTGAGGAAATCTTTATGTGCTCTGTATGTTCCCTATGGAGGAAAACATTTTAAAACCATCAGTTTTTCAGAGACGCTTTGGAACAGAGCTGCGAAGTTACCTCTAGTGCGGGGTTTGGTCCCCCATCTCTCCTTCAGGCAAAGCTTAAAGGTGGAAGAAGTATGATGAAGGAAACTAAATACCCAACAGTACATTTTTGTGGCTTGAAAGATGAAAAAAACAATACACAGAGATTACTTTTCAGTTTGGACTTGAATTTTCTTCCTCTTTTGCCCAGGTGTGTGTGACTAGCAGAAATGTCTCTGAAATCTTTGGAAACCATTGGGTGTATTTAGGATAAAAAGTTGTGTTTTGGAGGAAGACAGCTCAGTTTGATTTTGTTTGTAGACTTGAATTAGCTGGGTAAGAAATGAACAAAATTACTTAGTAAGTGGAATTCCTTTAGGATGGTACTGCTTTTATTCGGACATTTTGAGGGTTGTCACAGTCATTTTCAGGCCAAGGAACTAGGAGTGCCCTTCAAGAAACTTGTGAACCTGATGCAATAAACAGTAACTATCCCAGATTTTTTCAAATACAGTGCAGGCTTCATTTTATAAAGATAGCTCTTCAAAGTATATTTGCAAACAAGTTTAGAAAGAAAATATTTCATTTTTTAAAAGCTGTAGAGGGTATTAAAAATGTAAAATAAAATCTCACCTCCCTTGTTCAAATCTGTTATAGGCTTTAATTTTTCTTCCTCTGGAAGAGAAGATGTGGATGTAAGAACACTAGGCAATGGTAAGGCTTGTAACATCCCTTGTGAAACACAGAAACAAACAAAATGCTTAACCGAAGCTACCCTAATAGATCTTGCTGAATGCGAAGTGCCTAAGTGTCTGATTAGGCATGCTTTGAAATTTTGTCTTGGAAACTTTTTAGTGATACTTACGTATTTATTCCCAAAGACCGAAGAGTGTCTTAAAACCAACTGAAAGAGGAGCCCTTTTTCAGTGTCCTTGGCTGCACAGATGCATGGCAATGCATAGCTTGTTAGGAGTATTCTATTTTATTCACCTCCTGTTTTTAAGCCATCTATGTCAGACTGATTCCTATCTTGTTTTCTGCTGGGTCCTTCCACTCTGCCTCACTGTCACTGGGGAGTGGGGAAGCCTTATTTTCTTTCTGAACTTGGGTCCTTTATAAAGGCCAGTTGCTTTCCAATATGCTGAAGCTACTCTAGCCAAAGGAGGAAGGGAAAGAAAAAGTAAAAATTAACAATGATGTCTTCCAGTTGCTGTCTGATTTGTAGCGTAGTTCTTGGCATTGCTTATACCGGGGATCGTCCCTGGCCCTGAGCACAAAAGCGCAGCTATTGCAACAGATGTTCAGCTGAGGGAGCGGGATTTAACATCATCTTGCACCTGGGCATTGCTGTAGGTGACAGAAAATAAGCTAATTAACTTTTTTTCTTATTTTATTTTTTAATTAGCACAGACTTGTACAAGATGTCTTCTGGGAAGTCATAATTTGCACTTATTGCTGATACTGGGGTTTAGTAGCCAAAAAACGTCCCTTGTTTCTTTCCTTCCATCTGATGCTACGTCCCTAAACCCGCAAGTCCTATCCCTGTTTGCATAACAGCAGACAATCTTCACACCTTCCAACCTTACTGCATAAATTCAAACGTTAATTTAGAACAACATGTTTTTATGTTTTATGACTGTGCATGTTGCCAGGAAGGCCCTTTGCAATTGAGCTTGTGAATCCTCGTAGAATACGTTTTACTGCTGAGGAAATGAAGGGACTTCAGCAGGTAAATCATTTGCACCTCATGGAACTCATAAAGCATGTGTTTCTTCTCTAACTGAGCAGTTTTGCTAACTGATTCTTTTTTAAATATCACAGACAATTAATAACTCTTCAGACAAAATACAGGTTCGAGATTTACAGCTTGTCACCAGGTCAGTATTTATCATCACTGGCAAGGGATTTCGAAGTGATGCTTTGGGAGTTTTGCAAGCATTCTTGCTCACAGCGTTCTATAATTATGCTTATGTTATGTGAGTAATTAATTTCTTTTGTTTAGAGAGGCAATTGGTCGTATGAAGGAAGGTGAAGAGGAAAAGACAAAGACCTACAGTGCCTTAATATGGACAGACAAAGCAATACAGAAAGAAGATATTGCGTTTCTAGATGATATCAAGGTATCTGCAGCTCTTTTTGCTAATTTCTATAGTACCTGTCCTGGTGTCTTAGGGGAGAGTTTATGTACCTGCACCCACGTTCTCTGTGTTTGTTTTTCGTCAGGGTTTCTCTTGCTGCAGGGACTTTCATACCTCCCTTCCCCCTTGTCATCCTTCCTTCCTTCATCCTACTTCCTTACACCATTGTCATGCTAGCAATATAGCTGGCTGGCTGTTAGCCAAGACAACAAATTAGTGCCTAATGTCGACATTCCAGTAGGCCAAATAATAAAAAGTAGCAAATGGGAGAGGAGGAAATCTGGCACCTGCACCTCTTTCTTTACCTTAGATAGTCTTTTGCGTAACTGAAAGGAGCGGAGAAGGTCTTTTGTTCTGCAAGCTCTAAAGCCATTCTTCCACAGCTGCGGCAATTAGGAGTGTGAAATATCTATGGAAAATAATGCAAAGAGGCCTTACAAAGTGCTCCATGTAACAAGCACGCTGTGTTAACGAGAACTTTCTCCAAATGTTGGTCAGAGGTACTGCTGATGGAGAAGTGTTTTCAGTTTTTGTTGTGTTGCAACATTTCCTATGGGTCTGGGCCATGAAATCATTCTCAGAGCGAGGGCTTGAGCCATTACAGGGAGACATTCAGGGAGACAACTGTTGTGAAGCTTTTTTTAGCATGCCCACTCGCTTCCTGAAAAGTTGCCTTTCAAACTGCTGCATCTCATTTGGGAAAGGGTGTGGGGAATGAACTTTTAAAAAGATTATTAGGAGATCTAATCTCATTTCGGGTTTTTTTTTTCCTCACTTTTATTTCTAGGGGGTTGGCTGTAGTTTAGACAAAGCATTTTGTGGGTGGGATTTTTTTTTTTTTTTTTGATTGCCCTGAGGCTCTCAGTGAGCTTCGAAATCCTGGAGTCATTCCAGCAAAGGACTGTGGAGATTTCAAGGTTATTCCTCTGTATTTGTGATTCCATTAGTTTGTGTTCATATGAGGCCTTCTCATTTAGCCTCTGAGATGGCTGTCCTTTTTTCCTTTGATAAGCATGGAAAAAATCAGTCTTGCCTCAAGATTACTCAACTACCATAACACAACATAAAAAAGATGCGATTACTTAACACCACATATGACTTAGAATCTGTGCAGTATGTTGCAGATTTCCTTCCTGATTTATTTTGTTACCTCTTGTAACAGGAGTTAAAACTTGACCAGAAGACTCCTCTCCGGGTTCTTCACAGAAGGCCTCTAGCTGTAAGATGTCGGATCATTCACACCATGAAATCTGAGTACATAGACGAGCATCATTTTCGCCTGCATTTGAAGACTCAGGCGGGAACGTATCCTTAGATGCCGTTACACAACATATTTACGAAACAGCTTGCTGATTAGAGTACTTCGGGTAATGGGAAGTTTCCTGCTTTTATCACCGAGGTGTTTCTAAATTCCTGCTCTTCAGCAGTCATATGTTGCTGCATAATGTTTGCTTTTATGTGAGAATTTCACATTCAGGCTTTCGTTCGAACAAGCTACCCGTGTGTGTATTTTTGTGATGACCACTCTGATAGTTTTCAAGTATGGGATAGCTATAAAAATGTACTGGTTAAAGGTAACGCTTAAGCTTTTTGTAATTCAACTGAGAACTTTTCACCTTAGAAAATAAGCTTTTCTGCAATGTTTAATGCACCGCAACGCATACTGTAGATTGCTGCTGCTTACAAGTTAACAGTCTTGTTGTAAAGTCACTGCTCGCTTTGGAATAAAACAGCAAATACAGGTCGATAGTGCAGTTTTTGGCATTAGAGTCAGAAGCCAAGAATTAGGATGTCTTTTAAAGATGGGTATGGGCTTATGAGAACGTTCACTGCAAATTGGCTTAGGGGTAGAAAAAGACACTAGTTTTGCTTTGAGTGTTTTTCACCATACTCTTTTTTTTTTTTTTTTTTTTTCTTCCCCCCTTCTGGTTTCTTTGTGGTAAAATATACCTTTCCTTAGCCAGTATTTCTAGCTACATTAAAGAATTTGTACATGGAGACTTTGGAAGAACAAAGCCCAATATTGGCTCCCTACTGAACAGAACTGCCGACATTCTGGAGTTGGATGTAGAAGTAAGTTGTTCGCTGTTTATCTTTTCTGGAAATTAGTACCGTAGTTGCATTTGTGGGATTGCTCTAACGGAATCAACATTCCTTACCACAGTTAATAGAAAAATTTGATGTTAATGCAACATGAATTGATGACCCTTATTATTAGCACCCACTGGAACAGAGCTTAGCAATGTTACGTGTGGCCCATCATTTCTTTTCAAAAGGGGGTTGGATGAAAACGAGAGATTTGACTACTTCTTTCAGTGCTGGTTCAAACACAGCAAGAAATCCTATCTGTTCACTTGCTGGAGTCAGATGAGAAAACAAAATTTGTTTTGGTTAAAAGAATGTATGTAGAGATACGGATTTAATATTTAACTTAGTGGTTTGGCAAGGCTTATTTAAAAGATGGGTTTTCATTTCAAGTAGCCAGTGATTGGCACGCTTGTTCTCATCTATTTCTGGAAAACTGCCCATGTATGACATTTTGCAGAACAGACTTGTGGGTTTTTTTGCACATGTTTTGTAGGATAATACAGGAGGAGAACTTGCAAAGGGCACTCAGTTACCACGGAAAACAGGAACACCTGACTTGGGGCTCGGGCTGATAAGCATCGCTCTCATACGGATAGGTGTCACTACAGTTATTGGGCATAACTGTGAAAGGTGTCTAGGGACTTGAAAATAATTAGTCATCTTGCTAATAATGCATTTTAGCTCAGCCTAAGGGCCTAATCCTTTGATGAACTTGTAGATTAGGCAAGGAGTAGGTATGATTAAAGTAGGCAGTCCTGAAGGCAAGGCGTTTGTGTGGAGATCCCCGTGTTGTGATTGCAAGTGGTGATACTGTGGTAACGTAGGGTGGGAAGAGGGTGAGCAACAAGTTTATGCCCAAAGGGAACCGGAGATGTGGCCTCAGGGAGGCCAGGGAAGAAAGACATAATCCAAGTTGTAGTAATTACGACATTTGCTTCTGATAAAGCGTCAGGCATGTTTTGTCCCTTTTGACTAACAGTCAGGATGACTGTTAATGATGTTGCCTAGATAATTCTTGCGCATAATGCTTGACAGCTTATTCTTTTAGTCGAGTTTTCCTTGCTCAGGAGGCAGATTTGGGGACAGGTGATGGTTTTCTACTCAAGACTTGCCTGCACTGCCCAGTACCTGAATATTTCTGTGGCATCAATCAAAAGGTTGTTTTTCACATCGTAACAGCCCATCTGCAGGATGGGTAGAAGATGGAGATGGTTCATGTTTTTTGATTAATAGTTCTGGACACGCTGTAAATGCAGCCCAACATCAAATGATGCTGGGAAGTAGTAGTACAAGGAGTTGCGATTCTGCTTGATGAAGAAAGCCCAGTTCCCACAGAGAATCATAGAATCGTTTAGGTTGGAAAAGACCTTTAAGATCACCCAGTCCAACCATTAACCTAACACTACCAAGTCCACCACTAAACCAGTTAAGGGGAGAGTAGCAATTTCGTGTTTCCTGGCTTGGTGGCTGGATTATTTTTTCATGAAAGTAAAAACTAGGAATCACTAAGGTTGGAAAAGATCTCTAAGATCCTCAGTCCAGCCATCAACCCAGCCCCACCATGCCCACTAAACCATGTTCCAAAGTGCCACGTCTGCCCCTTTTTTGAACACTTCCAGGGATGGGGACTCCGCCACCTCTCTGGGCAGCCTGTTCCAATGCTTGACTACCCTTTCCATGAAGAAATTTTTCCTAATATCCAATCTAAACCTCCCCTGGCGCAACTTGAGGCCATTTCCTCTTGTCCTATCGCTAGCTACCTGGGAGAAGAGCTCATGCCAGACACACATGGAGCCACTAGAATGAGGTGGCTGTTTCATGCCGCTGGCTCCTGCTTGTCTTGTCCCGTGTCTCTTATTTTAGTGTCCTTTATTTACTGTTTCTTTCCACTGTTAGCCTATAGCTGACAAGCACAGAGCTCTGCTAGCAAGTCTCTTTCTTTACATACGTAAAATATCAAGTCTGCTGATTTTGCCTTTTTTTTACCCCCCCTTCCTTGCTCTTCTAGTCTGTTGACGTTGACTGGCCTCCGACCTTGGATAATTAACTTTTCAAACTGGGATGAGGAAGAAGCAACAACTTTGTCAGCAGCTGGTTACTGAACACTGTACAGTATTACAGCTTGGTTGCGAGGTATTTCTGTTGAACATTTGGATCATGTTGATCTGCCAAAAGATACCGTTACTTTGAGTCAACTTTAAACATTCTGGAACAGGTAGTGTTCGTTCAGTCTCTAGCCTTATTTTAATTTCTTCTGTGCATAAAAAGATTTTGGTAAACTAGTGTATTAATAAGAAGTCTTTTTAAAAAAAAAAACAATTAAGATAAATGGTGTAACATGTGCAAATGGTGTACTGAGCAAGTACATCAAATATGCTTTCTGCAGTAGTTTAAAATGTTTTAATTAAAAATAACCCTCCCTCAAGCCAGATTTTTTTAAAACTCTCTTTATATTGGATGCTGCAGCTTTTTTTGTCTGGATGCAGTTAGCACTGAGTTATCTGAAACCCAGCCCTTTCTGAGTACTGTTCATGCAGGAATATTTTTCCTGAAAGTCAGGGAGACTCTGAAACCAGTAGGATAGTGCCTGGAAGAGGGCAGCACTCTGCTCTTTGCCAACTGCTTTTTGGTCAGTGTCAGTTTTAGAGATGGGCACATTTGCCTCCCAGACAAAGTACTTTTCAAAGGGAAAAAACCAGAGTTTTCAGAGGAAAACTTTGCACTTAAACCCAAGTTTTTCTCATGTAAAAACATCAGCGCTACTTCCTAGAAACAACAGTTGAGGTACTTGAAGGCCTCAGCAGCTCTCTGGCCTGGTTACAGTCCTCTTCAGGCACAGGATTTCCCCAGTTGAGTCACCCTATATAAAAAAACTGGGAACTCCTGGCAGTGGTGCACAATGCAAATCTAAAGAAAAATAGGAAGACCAAGGAGCTCAAAGTACAGGCAACTATAAGATGTACTGAAGAATGGTGATGTTGAGGGAACAAGTCAGAGATAAAAAGCTTTGGTTTGTAGCATAGTACATTTTTTTTCTAGCATCCAGCCTTGGATGGATGCCTGGAGGAGTTGAACGTTGTCTAGGAACTTGCCTGGAATAGGGAAGACCTGAGGCTTTTTCTTTACTTGTGTTGTTACTTTAAATGTTTCGCACAAAGCAGGGGCTGGGCTGCAGGATTATTTTTAATGTTTATTAGCCAGGTCCCACCACCTACATCTTTAAGAAAAGCCACTTCTATGCCTCTATCATGTTAATCCACTGGGAAGATGCTGCTGCTTACCCAAAGTACAGAAGAAAGTTAAGTTATTGACAAGAAATTAAGGTTTGGAATTTAAGGGCTCTTTATTAATTAGTATTTCTGAAATGTTAAGAAGGTAAATATTTGCCAAGACAAACCACTGGTCAGGGACAGGAGGATTACCGAGATGTCTTACCTTCATTTCAGTGGTGCCAGGACCTCATAACAGAACAGCTGCATGATAACTTTAGCTGAAGGCTCAAAAAGGCATTACTAAATACATTTTTGCAGAGGTCCTACAAACTGATCTTGAAAAATTAGTCTAAATATTATACACTCTGCCTATGACGAGCTGTCAAAACTTGTCTCTCATGATTTGTTTTCCTAGGCCATTGTAATGGAAGTATGGCACTAGCTCAGAAACTCCTGTTTTTCTAACACAAAAATAATAGGAGCATGATTCAGACAGCAATATTTTGTTTTTAATCTTAAAGCTGTTATGAGCAACAGATTCCAGGAGTAGTTGTCTCAGATCATGAGCTGTACCCAGAAAGGAAGTGTCATGAATGATGGAAAACTTAAGAAACTGAATTCAGAAAACAAACAAAAGAGAATTTCAGTCTCATATCTATGTGATTTCTTGAAACTCAAAGTGAGCTAAAATGATTTAGAAATTCCATAAACTACGGGGGGGCGGGGGGGAATAATGTAAACAAGACTGCAGTATGGACACGACAAGAGCAGTTCCAAGGAGGGAGCAGAGCTAACAGGGCAGAAGCAGAAAGGGCTCCTGCGCCTGTCGTAGTGCAAGGACACAGCTCTTTCTGTACGTTATTATCGTGGTGATAGTGGAGATCATGTTAAGAATCAAAGTGCAGCTAAACACTGCTATAAAGCTCACACGAAATGTGCTGAGTCTGATCTCTTCTCCATACAATGTAAAGAGGTCCACCAAAAATTCCCACATTGCTTATTTCTATGATAAATGTGAAGTAGCCAAATGGGGGGGGGGGGGGGAAAAAAACGCAATAGTAA